TGACGGGTTTGCTGTCAGCCATGGTGTCAAGAGGCCAGGCCATGAACACAAGTCCAAGGTCACAGCATCAATTCCTTCCCTACTCAAACATGCATACTGTTCTTGCTTCCAAAGGTGCAGTCTAATTTCCCTTCCCTTAAAAAGATGGCTTACTTTAAGTATGTGTGTATAGCAACAAGGGACAGGGAAAATAAAGTCCCATGACAAAAGACTGTAGGTTCTATCCTAGAATGTGGGTTCAGACATGTCCTTCTTACCCAAGAGCCCATGAGAAAAGTGCAGACGACTCCTCTGGGGACAGACCCTGCCAGACAGGGCGTAAATGGCTAGCCAGAGATGTCCTTAGGCTCCTCAAGTCTCCACTGCTGTCTAATGCTATTGGGTGAGAGATCCCCAAGACAGGACTCCCTGGCTGAGCACAGTTAACTCAAAGGTGCAGAGAACATAATAAACTAAGTAAAGCCATTGTGTGTGTGTGTGTGTGTGTGTGTGTGTGTGTGTATTAAAGTATATATTCAGAGGACAACTGGGAGAGTCACTTTTCTCCTTCCAACACGTTCGTCCCAGGTATCAAACTCAGATATTGGGCCTTGGGGACAAGAACCTTCACCCACTGAGTCATCTCAGCAGTCCCATCATAGTGTTTAGTTACACAGTGACACAGAAAAGACTGAGCCTCTTGCATCCTGATTATTCTGTCCTATACATTCTCAAAGAAAAATCAGTTGTCTAAATCACAGATGCTTTGGCAATGTTTTTCTTTTATTTTTTCTCCCATTTGGAAATGTGTGTATGTATGTATGTATGTATGTATGTATGTATGTATGTATGCATGCATGCATGCATGTATGTATATACCCTGTTATGCTGGAGTATTTCTTGTTTTATGTACATATATTTTCTCACAGTCTGTAGAACAACATGCTGGCTAAGCACTCTACCCCTGAGCAACAACCCAAGTCCATGTTTCTTTTTTTAAAAATGTTTATTTATTTGCCTTTTATGCACACGGATGGGTGCTCTCCCTGCAAGTATGTAAGTGGACTACATGCATGCGTTGCCCCTGGAAGTCAGAAGGGGGCATCAGATCCCCTAGAATTGGGAGCTACAGATGGTTGTGAGCTGCCAATATGGATGCTGGTAAGCAAATCTGGGTCCTCTGCAAGAGCAGCTAGTGCTCTTACCCACCTAGCTGTCTTTCTGCTCCCCGCCCCCGCCCCCTCCATGATTCTGATCCAGTGCCTTCACTGTATAAACTGGGGGTAGGAACTGGATGTTGAACGTAGCCTTAATTTAACTGCTCTGCTTTATAAAGGAAAAGGGGGGGGAGGTTGAAATGACTGGGAAATTAAGGAAAGGAAAGAATTGAGACCCAGGAACATTTAGGACCTGTCAGGAAAGCTGAGCAATATCCACAGTTGTGACAACACACACAGCAGAGAGATAGTGTGTGTGATAGGCAAGTCTGTGGGAGGGAACTGTGAGTTGGGGGGGGTGGATAGGGAGACTTGGGCTGTCACTGTTTGGTAATGTGGACTTCATTTTAGTTTATTTTTTATTTTTTGTTTTTTTGAGATAGGGTTTCTCTATGTAGCTCTGGCTGTCCTGGAACTCCATCTGTAGACCAGGCTGGCCTTGAATTCACAGAGATCCTCCTGCCTCTGCCTCCCAAGTGCTGGGATTAAAGGTGTGCACCAACACCACCCAGTTACTGTGGGCTTTATAACTGTGCACTTAGACTATAGATGTGTGCCCTGAAAATGTTTTCTCCCTGTCTGGGGACTGTCCCTTCACTGTATTGATGGGGTTGTTTGCTATACTCAAGTTTCGTATATGTATATAATGAATTTTAGTCTTTTCCACCCTTCCATCCCCTCCCTCATACCCCCACCATTCTGGCTGAACACTTTCTTCTTTCTAACATGGCCCACTCCTACTCTCATGCCTTCTTTCTGTGTGTGACACTGGGAAGCTATTTACTGGACCAAGGGCAACTTCTCAGTGGCTACACCACTGAAAAAGGGCTATCTTAGTCCCTGGCTATGAAATGAACTGCCATAGATGCTCAGAGAGGGATGGAAACGCATCTGCCCATCCACTGTCCACAATGAAGTTTTGCCTGGTATGGGAATGGTTTTTATTGAAAGTCTCTATCAGCATGCAGACAAACAGGGATGTAAGAATAATGAGCCATATCTAGGCTACGTTTTTCTTAAATGTCAGTGTGAACAGGCACTCAATGTTGTAATCCAGCACTAAAGAACTCTCCTCACATTAAAACTGATCCCTTAATAGAAGGGTAATTTTTGTAGAGTTGTTTGATCATTTGGAGTCACTAATCTTATTGTTATCTAATTTATTTCTAAATATATCACAGGAAAAGTTAAAAAATCTTAATGAAACCCACAAGCATATAGACAGACATAGGGCACTTCTTCACTGCAGTCTGTTTAAGTAATTCATCAGACATGACATGTTTATAGAATCACAAAGCTTTTACATGTGCTCAAAGCAACACTATCCACTCACACTTTTGACAGGGATTGAAACCATGAGCTGTGGAATATTCCTGTACACTGTGTGAATATGTCACTGTGATTGGCTTAATAAAGAAGCTGACTGGCCAATAGTTGAACAGAATAAGGTAGGCAGGAGAGCCAAACTGAGAATGCTGGGAAGAAGAAGGGTATAGTTGGAGGAGTTACCAGCAGATGCAGAGAGAAATATAAGTATGCCATGCTAAGAAAAGGTACTGAGCCACATGGCAAAGCATAGATGAGAAATATGGGTTAATTTAAAATGTAAGAGTTAGCTAGTAACAAGCCTGAGCTATTGGCTGAACAAGGAGGACCCTAAAAGAGACAAACATTGTCCCCTGGAGAAGGGGAAAGGGTCAAGATCCCCTGAGCAAATTGAGAGCACGGGAAGAGAGGGGAGGGAGCTAGGAGAAAGAGAAGGGAAGAAGAGGAGGGATGCAGAGGACATGAGGGAGCAGAAAGGTTGGGTTAGGGGAAAAATAGAAGATAACAAAAATGTAGATACCATAATAGAGGGAGACATTTTAGGTTTACAGAGAAATCAGGCACTAGGGAAATGTCTGGAGATCTACAAAGATGACACCAGCTAACAATCTAAGCAACAGAGGAAAGATACATTAAATGCCCTCCCCGATAATGAGATTGATGACTGATTTATATGCCACCCGATAGCCCTCATCCAGCAGCTGGTGGAAGTAGAAGCCAACACCTACAACTAATCACTGAACTGAACTGGAATCCAGTTGCAGAGAAGAATGAGTGATGGGCAAAGGGGTTCAGACCAAGCTGGTGAAACACACAGAAACAGCTGACCTGAACAAGGGGAAACTCATGATCCCTTGACTGATAGCTGGGAAACCAGCATGGGACTGATCCAGACCCCATGAACATGGGTTTCAGTGAGGAAACCTCGGAAATCTACAGGACCTCCTGTAGTAGTTCAGTACTTATCCCTAGCATAGGTGTAGACCTTGGGAGCCCAATCCACATAGAGGGATACTCTCTGAGCCAAGACACACAGGGGTGGGCCTAGGCCTTATCCCAAAGTATATGATAGACTCTTGTGACGCCCTATGGAAGGCCTCACCATCTCTGGGGAGCAGAAAGGATATGTGATAGGTAGGGTGTTAGTTGGGGGGGGGTTGGTAGGGGAGGAGGGGAGGGAGTGGGAACTGGGATTGACATGTAAAACAATCTTGTTTCTAATTCAAATTTAAAAAATGAAAAAAAATAAAATGTAAGAGTTAGCTAGTAACAAGCCTGAACTATTGGGCGAGCATTTACAATGAATGTTAAGACTCCATGTAGGTGGGGAAGGGCCTAGGCCTGGCCCAGGATGATGTGGAAGAAAAAGAGTTAGGGGGATATCTCTGTGTGTGGTACATTAAGGATGACTAAGGGCAGGTGGGATGTTGGGGGGAGGGGCGGGAGAGGGAGAAGGGATTGACATCTGAAGCAAGCTTGTTCCTAATTTGAAATAATAAAATAAAATAAAAATTTAAAAACAAAAGACTCCATGTAGGTTATTTGTGAGCTGGTGGGAGGGAAAGTATGGTCCACCTACAATGAGCAGAAAAGAGCAGTCACTCTCCTGGCTCCTGCGGTTCCTCTTTCCTTAGTTTCAGTTTACACATACTCACCCATAGCCCAAAAGCATTAAGTGGAAAATTTCACAAACATGCCATAAATTTTAACTTGTATGCCACTGCGAGCAGTGTGATAAAATGTGTGCCCTCCACTCCAACCCACACAGGACACCTGCTATCCCTTTGTTCTTATAAATGGGCTGCATGTGCCACCAGCCTGTATTGATTATTTTTCCTATTGCTGTGATAAAATACCAAAGCAACTTACAGGGTTCATTCCAGCTCACAGATCCTCGTGCAGTCCTTCGTGGTGGGGGAGTCTTAGTGGCAGGAGTTTACCGCAGCTGTTCCCATCGAATTCATTGTCAACAACTCAGGGTTTCCATTGCTGTGATGAAACACCATGACCAAAAGCAAGTTGGGAAGAAGAGGATCCATTAGCCTTACACTTCATCACTGCTGTGCATCACTGAAGGAAGTCAGGACAAGAACTCAAACAGGGCAGGATCCCAGAGGCAGAAGCTAGTGCAGAGGCCATGGAGGGTGCTGTTTACTGGCTTGCTTCCCACGGCTTGCCCAGTCCACCTTCTCTGTGGCTTTGGAGACTGACCAGGAACTAGCTCTTGTAGACCATGCTGATCTCGAACTCACAGAGATCCACCTGCCTCTGCCTCCCGAGTGCTGGGATTAAAGGCGTGCGCCACCACCCCCCCGGTCCCAGTCCACCCTCTTATAGAATCCAGGACCAGCAGCCCAGGTATGGAACCACCCACAATAGACTGGGCCCTCCCCCATTGATCACTAATTGAAAAAATGCCTTGCAGCTGGATCTCATGGAGGCATTTCCTTAGCTGAGGCTCCTTCCTCCGATGACTCCAGCTTGCATCAAGTTGACACACAAAACCAGCCACCACAGTCAGGAAGCTCAGCTCCCTAGCTGTCTCTTAATTCAGTTGGGGACTGCAGCCCATGGGATGGCGTCACCCACAATCAAGGTAGGTCTTCCCACCTCAGTTAAGCTTCCTTAGGATCAGTTCAACAGCCCAAAGTTCTATCTCCTCTGTGATTCAAAATCTCACCAACCATTTGTCACTTTATAACTTTCTTAGGTATCAGATTCAATTTCAGGGCATCACAGAGTTTGGGCATAAATAACCACAATATCACTTTAATAATGGCCAGAAAGCACAACAGCAGTGATGCTTGGAATTTTAGTGCAGGATATTGTTATAATTGTTCTGTTTCATTATTAGCTATTGCAATTAATACCTTAATGTACTTAATTCATAAACTAAACTCTGCCAGTGCCTTGTATATAAGAAAACACCATAGTTTATATAGGGGTCAGTGTTATCTGTAGTTTTTATTGATACCCACTAGGGAGTGTTGGAGCATATTCCCTGTGGTTAAGTGGAAACTGTTCTCATTTCTGTCTGAGAGTCAGGGGACTTACTCAAATCCAGACAGGGGCAGGAGAGATTGGCCCAGGGGTTAAGAGCACTGGCTGTTCTTCCAGAGGACCCGGATCAATTCCCAGCACCCACATGGTAGCTCACAACAGTCTGTAACTCCACTTCCAGGAGACCTGGTTCTATTTTGTTCTCCACGGACACCAGACACACATATGGTGTGCTGACATATACACAGTCAAAACATCCACACATGTAGAATATTATAATAATGATAATAATTATTTTTATTTTATCTTAAAATGTGTCTGACAGACATTTTGGACTTCTTTGGTGATTCCAGGGTGTCCTTCTGTGTATCATATTATTAGCAACTTGTAAAGGTATGTGATTTAAGTTTGTCCCTTAGAAGTATTGACTCCTTCAAATCACTGGTTACTTCTTAGCCTTCTAAGTCTTGATCTGCATGGATAAGGTATTATCCTAGGAACGGTTGCCCTGGGAGGCACCTCAGCCTCTAATGGGAGGTTTCAGCTCACAGACACCAGTTAGTAACGGGCCTTGCCAAGAGTTATGCTGACCATCAGTCAATTGACAGATTTTATTTAAGATCAAAGAAGTTGAGAACTAAAGCAACAGGAACCCAGAGTTAGTTTGCACACCAACAGAAGCGATATTTAAATATAAAGAAAGGGAGTGACTAAGATTGAAATAAAAAAAACTGGAACAGCAGAAACAGATCAAGTCTATTTCTTAGTGTAAGAATAGATGTCTGGACATGATGACAGATTTAAACATTTAAATGGAATGTGAATAAGGAGGGTTTTGGTGGGTTTTTTTGTTTTTTGTTTGTTTGTTTGTTTGTTTGTTTTTTAAGAAATCTGGCAGTGAGTCCAGGAATTTCTCTGATTGCCTAGGACTTCCTTCTATCAATACACAAACCCTACATCCTCTCCCTTACATCTCTTATTGCTTCTAAAGATAAACTACTTCAAAGAGTTTGGCTCTGTGAGTGGTGTGATGAATAAACATGTTTTCCTGCTTAACAAAGGTAGACTCTGGGAAATGACCCAGCACATGAAAAGATGGAGGAAGTCTCGTGTGCATAAAACGATGTGCTTTAAGAGTGGTGTCCTGTACTTTTGGATACTGCTCTGCATCTTTATAAGAAGGTGGCAAGAGACATCTTAGGATGGCTCCTCCATGCCCACTCCCAGATCACTCCTTCCTGGAGACCCTTCCATAGATTACATAAGCTGAGTGGTCTCTCTCTGCTTCTGTTAGCAACTTTTCTTGACATTTACATGAATGAGTAAAGTATCACAGATAAACCAACTCTTATTGTTCACTCTGCAGGGTATTCAACAGTCATCAAGCATATAAGAACACTAGATGCAAGATAAGAAGGTAGCTGGCCCTGGGGTGATAAGCAAGGCAATGCCCTGGCCCTCAAGATTCTCACGGGTCATTCTGGAAAACAGCTGGTCTTCAAAGGTTTGAATGTTAGAGAGCCAGGAGGGAGTGTTTTGCAGTGTTCTGTGATGGGTTAAGAAGAGAAAGTGTCACAAAGCCGCTGGCTGCTTAAGCTGACCCTGAAGAAAGGAACTAAGACCCCAACATACACAAGAGGAAACACAGGTCTCCGAAGAAGTATGGCAGAGCATATCTCTCACAGGGTGGAGGTCTTGCTCGTCACCAGTCTCAGACACCACAGCCCTTCCATCCCACATCCAGCATTACTGCTCAAGTATTTCTACTAAGAACCCACATTTTTCTTTTCCACCAAAGACAACACTCTTCTTTGGCCTTGTTCATATGTTAAGTCAATCTTTGGTATCTTTGCCATTGACCTCAGACTCCTTTGCTTAAGCCGTTGAGTCATTGCCCTGCCCCAAAATAATTACTAGTAACAAAAACAATATAGAAATGTTCTATTCTTTTTTCTTTCCAATCAATCAAAACAGCATTTTTATATGATGGAAAATGCAAACAGGCAAATAGCAAACAATTTAGTTGGTAAATTATAGTACATCAACATGACAGAAGACTATTCAGCCAGAAAGACACCATTAAGAAGACAACAGATGGCACATGGGAAAGTAAAGCACAAAATGATCAATAATTATACTTACAGAAAAATACTTGTAAAGTGTTACTTGGAAATGTTTAAAGCTTTAAGGAGTAATAAAATACAGAAATATTCAATGTTTTAAAATGCTACTAATGGGTTATCTTTTCATTTGGGGGGGTTAGTGTACTTTAAAGAAAGCTCTGGGAGTGATCTAACTTGTGGATTCAGAATCACTGTGCTCATTTCATTATAGTCCACAGTCTATGTAAATGAAGTTATGTAAATGAAGGTAACCCCCCGATCTCAAGGTTGTGTGCTACTCTCACTGAGCTAATGTCCAATATTAGAACCTGAATATTCTATGTTTTATGATTTTAAAAGGACTGCAACCTTTAAGACTGTTCTTTTTATTTTTTACTGGTTCTTTTGGACACTGGTTCTATACATTGACGTATTGACAAGAAGAATGGTGCAGTAATGAGAAACAGTCAACCTTCTTCCTTTTGGTTACAATACCTCAGACAAGTGACTTGCACTCTCTGTACTTCATCCTCCCACTAGCAAGAGGAGGTGACAGTAATAGTGCCTAATTCATGTAGTGTTGTAAAGGTCTAGTGAGACAGCCCACCGAGCTTGGCCTAGGGTATGTGCCCAATTGCTGGCAACTCTTTCTTACACACACACTGTCACAAGTGACTCATAGGGGATGTGACTCTTTGACACTCTTTTTGTAGTTCTGTGACTGCAACATTTATTCTTTTTTAAGTTAATAAACTGATGGTTTTAAATTTTTTATTTATGTGTATCTGTGTGTGTGCTTGACTGTAGGTCTGTCATGTGTATGAAGTGCCTACAGAGGCCAGAAGAGGGGTCAGACACCTTAAAACTAAAGTTACAGGCAGTTGTGAGCTGCCTGGTTTGAGTACTAAGAACCTGGGTCCTACTCAGGGGTAGCAAGTGCTCTGAACTTCTGAGCCACCTTCTCAGGACTCTAGCATTCACTCTTGGCAAATGAATTTCCTGTCATCTTTTGTTCATATCTTTTAAATCAAGCAGCTCTCCAGAAAAGATACTCCTTTTCCAGCCAGATAATTGTGACTTAAAAAAAAAAAACCTACAATGTACAGAGTCTTGTCTTGTTTGAACTACAACACCTTTAAAGTTTCACATATAACCACTCCCCATCCTCCATATGGGCTTTCCCAAAATTCTATTCCCTTACAATGAGGTTCATGTGGAATGATTCCAGCCCTCTTCCCCTTTGGTTATATTAGTTGAAGTCAAACTGTGTGAATCATTTTAGATCTAAGGAGAACAAACACACCTAATAAACAAGAGTACAAAAATAGCAGAAATCCAAGCACTGTCCTGACCATTTGCCAATTATGAAACGTAACTCAAAATGTATTAAATACTTAAGTGTAAGACCTGAAACTATGAAACCCCTAGAAGAAAACATGGAAAGAAGTCTTCAGGACATAAGAATGTGCAGAGTATTTTTATTTTGCTTTAAGAAGATACCCAAAGCACAGGAAAAAAGGGAAAGTAGACAACTGGGATTACATCCCACTAAAAGGTTCCTGAGCAGCAAAAGGAACAACCAAGAAAGTAAAAAGACCACCTATTGTTGCAAGAAATTCATTTCAAATGACACTGCCCACAAGGGGTTAATATCCAGAATCCATGAAATTCCAAAACCTCAATAGAAAAGTAGTAATAATGACAACCTTATTATAAGTGAGCAATAGACATAAACAAACATTCCTCAAAAGACATAAAATGACCAAGCAGTTCATGCAAAGTGCTCAATGGCTGTAGTCATTAGGGAAACACAAGTCAAAACTATGATGAAATGTCACTTCACCCCAATAAGAATGGTTATTAAAAAGAAAACAAAACAGGCCAGGTGGTGGTGGTGCATACTTTTAATCCCAGCACTTGGAGGCAGAGGCAGGAGGATCTGTTTGAATTTGAGACCAATCCAGCCTACAGAGTGAGTTTCAGGACAGCCAGGACTACACCATGAAACACTCTCAAAAAACCAAAATAAATAAATAAATAAATAAATAAATAAATAAATAAATGACAAGCATTGGTGAAGAACCAACAATCTTCACATACTCTGGGGGAGTAGAAACTAGCACAAGCATGGTGGAAAACAGTACGTATTTTCTTTAAAACAAACAAAAAACAATAGAACTATACAACATGACCCAGCATTTCCACTTCAGGGTATGGACCCAAAAGAAATGAAGACAGTACATCAACAAGACCCCTTCCCCCGGGTTTATTGCAGCTCTCCACAATAGCTAAGGTAGAATAATCAACTTAAATGCCCATCAAGTAATGACAGGCTCAAGAAAATGAGGTGTACATGTATCTCACAATAATAGTTAGCTAGAAAAAGAATGAGATTCTGCACTTTGCAGATCTCTATGATAAATGAAATAATCCAGACATACAAACTCAATTACTGCGTGATCTCGCCACATGTAGACTCTACAAGAGTTGACCTCATAGAAGGAGAGAGTAGAATGGTGGCTGTCAGAGGCTGGGATGAGCACTGTGGGGAGAGAGATTGGAGAGAGGCTCATGAGTGGGTGCTAAGTTACAGTCAGGAGGAAATCTAGTGTACAATGATCTAGGTAGTGACCATCTACTGTGTAATTCAGAACACTAGAAGGGAGTTTTCACCATAAGGAAGTAATAAGATGTTTGCAAAACAGGTGTATCTAACCTGATGTCAACATCATGCAAAATGCATGCATGGGTTGAGATGCCACATGACACCTCATAATTACAGCTTAACCTTAATGTTTGATTCTAAAAAATAAAAACTTTAAGATTAATACATCTCCTACTCCCAGAGGCATATGTTATGGTATGTTTAAATGTATCCTTTGGAAGTACTCCATGCACTTCAAATACAACCAAACTTATGGACATGGGTATCAGATTTTAACCTACGTTAGAACACACCAGATACACAACACTGAAAGTTGCTTATCAATACACCTTAAAGATTGCTTCACATCAACACAGACAGCACTGTGGTTTTTGTTCATGGCTATAGCATTTTCCATGGTGCTGAGAAATCCTAGCCTTTTCTTACTAGCCCCATATACATATTCATGTAAGAATAGGGCCTCTTGCAGAAGGCCCTATTTGGTTCTCAGCCCTCACATGGAGTGGTTCACAATGCATGTAAGTCCAGATCCAGGGGAATCTAACATACTTCTCTGGCCTCCACAGACACCTGCATACATGTGCACATACACTACACAACACACATGCACATAATTAAGTAAAATGAGTCTTTAAAGAAGGATATTCTGTCCTTACATTATTACAAACATGTTATAATTGATAGCTTTAGCTCTCCATACATATTATATTTAATGCTATAAATACCTCCAAGTGCATAAATAATTTGTGATCTCCTTTTTCCACATACCGTATAATTCATAAGCTTTAGAAACTTACTTTAGTTTTGCTATTGTAGATAAATCACAATAGATAGCCTTTTTAACACCGGTATCAAGGGAAAGTGTCATTTTGATTAATTGTGATTCTAGCCATTGTGTGCACAAAGCACATTAGAGCTATCTAGACAAGGCTCCTGGCAGATTTCAGAATTCCGGAGAACCAACGAAATAAGAAAAAAGAAACTAACAATTCCTATCCATGGTCAGCCCTTTCTGTCTGGATGCCCCAGTGCTGGTATTTGCAGCTGTCAAGAGAAGAAGCTGGAGTCAGCTTCTTTGTCAGCAAGCATGTGAGGCGCCTGCAAAGTCCCTTGAAAGTCAGCTGCTGCTCAAAGCAGACACGCGCCGACTGAATGTGTCACACTGTCCCCCAGAGCTGCCACATGTTCATGGTACGTGTCTTCTTCAAGCTTCTCATTTGTCCAGTGTCAGCAAATCTTATCTTGCTGTCACAGTTTGATAGAGCACTGGCTCTGGTGTTTGCTTCCTCTGCCTCCTGTGGGTGTGTCAAGGAACAGCTCACTCTCACAAGTCCCTCAAAAATGAGAGCTGACCTGGCTCCATGGAACCATCAGTTCATTTTTCTGATGACAAGTTCACTTGTTCTGATCTGTTTCTCTCAGATATAATGCTTGCCTGTTGATGAAAGTGAAAAATGAAGATTTTTTCCCCCAGGTTTCAGGTGCTTATCAGCTTATCCATTGTGCACACTAGGTATCCATTGTGCTTATCCATTCTCTAATTGCCTAAGGCCCAGAAAGAGGCAGAAAAGCAAAGGCTTGCTGGGCTCTTCCAGGCAGAGCTGAGATTCCACAGTGCCATAGCGGTGACACCCTACACCAACAGAACCTACAAACCAAAGCAGAATTTCATGGTTCAAAGTCTCACTTCTTTCCTTTTTGATGACCAGCATCACTGCATAGAATGATGGGCAGCCCAGATTTCCGCAGCATTGCACCCATCCCTCACTCAAGCCTAATGTGGGGTGAGCACTCATTCCTCGGCTGGTAAACATCAAGGACTAAGTGTTGCTTGCTGTGGCAACCCAAGACCAAAACAATGATGTGAACAAAACCAAGTGCTGTCCTCTGGGAGCCTGCGTCCCAGATGCATGGCATACCCAAATATCACATAGAGGACTGTAAGGGGGAAAAAAATGTAACCTAAAACTACATTGGAAAATCTTAACAAGATGGGAGGGTTATGCCAGCATCCTCCTCCTCATGGTATTTTGCTATGGTTTTATAAAATGTTCCCACGGGGAATCAGTGGAGGGTCCATGCGGTCTGTATGTGTTTTTTGTACCACAATTGTCTCAATACCATTTCCATGAATGTAAGTGGAAAGTTAAGTTTTTACATAGGACTGTCAGTAGATTTTACTGAAAAGGTAAGACAGTAAAGTCCTGAAATGGGTGAAAGCCAGGCATATGAAACTCAGGGTCAAGGTGCCCTTGATAGAGGGACTGAAGACCCAAATGGGAACAGCTGTAGGGCCTAAGAGACAGGAATCGATGAGAGAGGTAGCCAGAGAGGGGCAGGTGGCCAAGTAGAATGAGGGCACCCACTGTGTAGACCTTGGCATCCACTCCAGGAGGGCAAAGGGCAGCATCATGATAAGGGCCACCGTATCATTTTAAGAAAGCTAAAACAATAAGTGAGC